CATAAGTGTGAATTTTGGGGTTACACGTAAGTTTTAGCAAGTAGGGGATGGGGCCACAAAAGGATTGGGGGAAAACAGACATGACCCCCAAGATCATTGAGCACCAAGAGCTGTGCTGCAGAGCGGTGCCCGTGGCCGCTGCCTGTGCGGGACCCTCCAGGGCACAACCCATTCTCCTGAGCTCACCCACAGCCAGGTCTGCCATGGTCAGAGACAGGGCACCAGGAAGCACAGACAGGAACTTTCTTGTTTTTTCCCTTTTGGGAACAGAGTCAAGAGAAACAGCAACAGTTGTCGGGAAGCCCCCGGCACCTCTACTCCAGGAGCTGGTCTCCATGTGACAACGTCCCAAATGCTGCAGGGGTGTCCTGTATTTTTATCTGCAAAACCTGGGAACTGCTGCAAGCCTCGTGCCTGGCCCATCCTCGGGGGCATCCGCCTCCTCCGTCGCTGTCCCCACAAAGTCCAGGAAGGATCGGAGACCAGAGCCCCAGCGTCCGAGGTGCATCCAGCAGCCAGGGATGGGGACAGCAGCCCACAGGGGGTGCAGACAGACGTTCCCTCATGCAAGTGGCCAGATGGCGCAGGCACCGTGTCTCCTGGAGGAAGGGACAGAACACGCCCCTCCCCTAGAACTGCCCCAGCCCAGTCCAGAGAAAGCCACACCTCAGGGCCTGCCCCCATGTGCGCTGCGCCGTTGTTGTCCTCTGAAGGCAGGGGATGAGCCAGGGCAGAACCAGGCATGCCCCACACCTGATTCCACCACTGACCAACTGCATGGGCCTTGAGGCTCATTTTTTTTTTTTTGGTGAGATGAAGTCTTGCTCTGTCACCCAGGCTGGAGTGCAGTGGCGTGATCTCGGCTCACTGCAACCTCCGTGGGCTCATTTTTAAGGCGTGCTTGGTACCAGGAGTGGCTGCCACTGCCCCGGTTTCCTCCCCTGTGACGACGCTGCCGTGAGGACAGCCTGGCAGGGCACAGATGGGAAGGGACGCATGGGTCCCTCCATGCCCCAGGGGTCCCCCAGCCGCAGATCTGTAAACCCTCCTCCTAATGGCACCCACAGAGCTCAGGCCCTGACCGTGGAAGGGCTCTGGGGGCAGAGGGGCACTCGAGCTCCTCAGGCCACCAGGGCTGTTCAGGCAGAGAAAGCAGCAGAGCCCACGCCAGGCCAGATCATGGGGCTGCAGTGCTGAGGCCAGCCCCGGGGAGGCTGCAGGGCGGCTCTGAGGAGCGGTCACCTCAGACCCCTCAGGTGCGCTGCACAGCCCAGGCGGGAACAGCCTAGTGGGTGGTGCAAAGCCCACAGAAGCAAGCCTGGGGCCTGGTCTCAGGGGTGCGGGGGGCATGCTGGGGGGTGGGTGGGGTATAGGGGTGCGGGGTGCTGGGTGGCCCTGCACTATGAGGGTGGCTCCAGCCTCACTGGGCTTGGCTCCATTGCCACCAAGATTCCCCAGCTTGCACACTCAGACAGGAGCCCACAGGGACAGGAACGGAGCAGGCCAGCTGGGGTGGAGGTGGGGGTGGGGACACCAGCAACACGAGAGCCCCAGAAAGCAGCGAGCCCAGGCAGCACACAAGGAAAGATCATTTGGAGAATACTAAATGCTCTGCCGGGCATGGTAGCTCACAACCTTGCAACCCCAGCGGCACTTTGGGAGCCCAAGGCAAGCGCATCGCTTGAGTACAGAAGTTCAAGACCAGCCTGGGCAACATACAGACTCCGCCTCTGTAAGAAATTTTAAAATTAGCTGGGTATGGTGGTGTGCACCTGTGGTCTCAGCTACTCAGGAAGCTGAGGTGGGAGGATCGCTTGAGCCTGGGGGGTGGAGGCTGCAGTGAGCTGTGATGGTGCCACTGCACTCCAGCCTAGGCAACAGGAGACCTTGTCGCAAAAAAACATAATTACACGCTCTCAAGACAGCCTGTTGGAGTCTAAGGTAGAGTCTAAGCTGCCCCCCAACAGGGTCTCAGGGTGGGCTCCTCTTGGGGAATGGGGGCCCCCATCCCTAGCAGGACTCAGCCCATAATCTGGCAAGAGCACCCCAAGTTCAGCTGGAGGAGGAAGAAGGCCCTGCAGCCAGTGCTCCTCCAGGCACCTGGCCAGGCACACGGCACCTCCCCTGGTATCCCGGCCTCACTTGCTGACCAGCATCCAGATGCGCAGCTGGGGACCCACCTCTAGGCAGGACGCCTGCAGGACCACTGCAGCAGTCTTGACACCCGAGCCCACACACACGGGCGGGAATGGCACTGCCACAGTCGGGCATGAGGGATATGCTTCTTTGGACGATTCATTCCAACATCTCTCATTGACAGCTACTTTTTTTATTAATCTGAGAGCTTAATGGTGAAACTCTCCACTCAGAACAATATGGGGCCAGGCACAGTGACTCATGCCTGTAATCCCAGCACTCTGGGAGGCCGAGGCAGGCGGATCACCTGAGGTCAGGAGTTCGAGACCAGCCTGGCCTACATGGTAAAACCCCATCTCCATTAAAAACACAAAAACCAGACAGGTGTGGTGGTGCGTGCCTGTAATTCCAGCTACTCAGGGGGCTGAGGCAGGCAAATCGCTAGAACCCGGGAGGCAGAGGTTGCAGTGAGCTGTGATTGTGCCACTGCCCTCCAGCCTGGGTGACAGAGTGAGACTGTCTCAAAAAAAAAAAAAAAAAGGGTCAGACGCAGTGGCTCACGCCTGTAATCCCAGCACTTTGGGAGGCTGACGCAGGAGCAGCTCAGTGGCCCATCCTGCCTGGAGAGCGAGCCAGGGCTGCCAATGGCGCAGTGCTTAGGCCGATCCTCACAGGCCAAGCGAGGCAGCCCCACGCCATCCCCTCCAGGACATCACACCCGGGGCCCCGGCCACTTCTACAACTCCCGCTCCTGGTGCTCACGGGATGGCTGTCTCCAGGGCTCTTCCCTGCTTTCTTACACGGGTGGGACCCCAAAAGTCGGCCCAAGGAGCAGCAAGTGTCGAGGGACACGGTGCACTCAGCACTGCAGGGCAGGGTGCTGGCTGCAGCCCTCTAAAATCTGAAATGTTTTTTAAGTTTACTTTTTTCCCCGCTGGCAAGTATGTAGAGCAATAAAGTTTAAACTTCAAAAAAAACACCAGAACAAAAATACGAAAGCAGCACTTCTAACAGCACCACAGAGAGCAGATGATGGCACACGCCAAGCTCAGGGAAGACCAGCAGCACGGACCGGGTGCTTCTGCGCAGGCTACGCCAGAGACCAGGGCCCTGCAGGGGCAGAGGCTTTCTGGCATCTTTTCAAACTACACTAATTTTTTTTTTTTTGAGACGGAGTCTCGCTCTGTTACCCAGCCTCAACCTATACTAAAATTAAAACAAAAAGGCCAGGCGTGGGCTCACGCCTGTAATCCTAGCACTTTGGGAGGCCGAGGCAGGTGGATCACTTGAGATCAGGAGTTCGAGACCAGCTGACCAACATGGAGAAACCCCATCTCTACTAAAAATGTAAAACTTAACCAGGTGTGGTGGCGTCTGGCTAGTCCCAGCTACTTGGGAGGCTGAGGCAGGAAACTGCTTGAGCCCAGGAGGTGGAGGCTGCAGAGAGCTGAGATCGCACCTCTGCACTCCAGCCTGGGCCACAGAGCGAGACTCCATCTCAAAAGAAAATAAAACAAAACAAAACAAAACAAAATTCAGCCGGGCGTGGTGGCTCAGGCCTGTAATCCCAGCACTTTGGGAGGCTGAGGCGGGCAGATCACGAGGTCAGGAGATCGAGACCATCCTGGCCAACATGGTGAAACCCCGTCTCTACTAAAAATACAAAAATTAGCCGGGCGTGGTGGCACCTGCCTGTAATCCCAGCTAGTTGGGAGGCTGAGGCAGGAGAATGGCATGAACCCGGGAGGCGGAGCTTGCAGTGAGCTGAGATTGCGCCACTGCACTCCAGCCTGGGAGGCAGCAAGACTCTGTCTCAAAAAAAAAAAAAAATCCAAAAGATGGGGTGTTAACCTCTTGCAATGAAGAACAGGAACACCCAAGGCAAAACGGTAACGGTCTGTCCACTGAGAAGCAAAGCCCCCACATGAGCAAGCTGCAGGTGGCTCGCAGGCACCGATTTCTGCTGTCCTGTTTTGGATGCTATCTAACATCTTCATGTTCAACCCAGGGAAGAAACAGCCCGCCATCGCCCTGGGGCCTCTCAGCCCACAGCAGGTTCCAAGCCTTTCCAGCCTTCGGGATGGACAACCCTTAAGGAGCAGAGGTCAGGGAACCCTGACCCCGCCACCCTTGCCCAGGCCACCCGCTGCCCTCACAGGCACAGACAGCAGGCCTCTGTCCATGGCCAGGGCACTCCACGGGGAAGAAACAGGCCCTGTTCTCTCCCGCTCACCACTTCACCCAGCTCAGCTGGCACAAAAATGCTGCTGCCACACCTTCATCCTGCCCAGCCCGACCTGGCAGGGCCTCAGAGCAGTCTGCCAGCTAAAATACAGGATGCCCAGATAACTGTGAATGTCAGATAAGAATCTTCTGGGACAAGTATGTCCCATGCCATATTTGGGACATACTTACACTAATAAATTTCTGTTTATCTGAAACTCAAACTTGCCTGGGCATCCTGTACTTTTTTTTACTAAATTTGGCGCCTCTACACATGAGGTCCCTTTGCGGGGGGGAGGGGGCAGGAGCAAGCCCCTTCCCAGGCTGAGTCCCTGCCGGCAGCTCTCACAGGCCAGGACGGCCGCCCAAACGGGGCCCATGCCAGGCAGCCGGCGACAGACGGACAAAGGCTGTTCAGGAGACACCTTCCTCTCTCTTGTCTGGGGGCTCAAGAATCCAGACACCCACCTCCTGGGGCGAGCACCAAGACAGGAAGCCAACCTACAACACCCAGCTCACTGCAACCACAGGCCCTGCCGGGGTCCTGCCGGAACCCAGGGTTCGGGTCCAGAAGCCAGGGATAAACGCCGCTTCTCCTATAGGGACTGTCAGAGTAGAGCGGGAGAGGCCCACAGTCTCACCTGCAGGGAGAGGACGTCCTTGGGGTGGGCACACGGAGGGCCTGACAACCCTGAGCACACCTGGCCACAGTGACCACGGACTGCACACACAGCAGCAGTCTGGATCCCACGCGTGGCTGTGTTGCCAGCAGACAGCACCCAACCTGCCATGCTCCTCATCACAGAGAGAGACCAGCAACATCTCCGCCAGGCATGGTGGGCACCTCCGCCACAGCCTGGGGGTCCAGGCCACCCAGCCTCACAGCACTGGAGTGTTGTGGGTCAGTGAGGCCCCGGGACGGGCCTCCAGGCACAGAGGGACAGAGGGTTCGGGGAGGGCGGTGCAGACCCACACAGGGCTCCTCCCAAGCCTGTGCAGGGCCCAGGGGAGCTGCACCTCCGGGACGGGACAAGGCAGGGTCCTGGCTTTCGTCAGCCACAGCACAGCTGCCACAGGGCACAGAAGGATGACTGAGAGATGAGGTCCTCACCCACACCATGGGGAAACAGAGGCACGGGATGGTGGGGGGGCAGCCAGGCTGGCGCCAAGTTCACAGGCAGGCGGGCCTGAAGGCCGAGCAATGCAGCCACTGGGAAGGCATGAGTCGGGGTCGGGGTGTCCCCAGCCCTAGAGCCCAAAGCCGCCACCACTCCCCAACCCCAGCCTGGGTGGGGGCAGGGAGAGATCTTCTTGGGACCAATCCCAAAACCATGCGTAGTGGGCCCGGCTGGAGCCCAGGCAGTAGGCATCCTCTCTACCGGGGTGAGAAACTGGGCCCTCATGTCAGGCTGGAAGGGGGGTCTCCAGGTGGGGAGAAAGAACAGGAAGAAACAGGTCGCTCCCTCAAGGGACCCCACACCCAGGCTGCCCCAGGCGTGGGGTGGGCTGAGCCCACCTGTGTCCACACAGGGACCTGGCAAAGCTGTATGAGGCTGTGGGAGGGGGCTGACGCTGGATAGGCACAGGCCCACCGCCCCTGTGAGAGGACAGGGGAGGCCCAGAGCTGCTGATGCAGACTGACCGCCCATCTCACAGACGGGGTGTAGGGGGCTCCCACCGTCCCCAAGGTCACAGGGCTGGCCGGCGAGACCACACGGCGTCCAAGGCAGCAGAAGCCACGCTCGAGGGACACGGAGTGTTCCGGGCACTCGGGGTCACGGGCATGGGGATCAGGCCAGAGCGAGAGAGACCCCAGCTCCCTCCTGCAGCGCAGGCTGCAGGTGGGAGAGGCAATGGGCACCTGCCGAGAGGGTCACAGGCAGGGAGGGGTCTCAAGAGTCCCGGGGAGGGAGGCACTGATGGAATGATGGAATGCGCACGACCCCCCATCTCCCTGTGAAAGACCCCACGGAGTCCCAGGCACTCGAAGGAGGGCAAGGCCCAAAGCTGCAGGCCCGCGGGGCCCGAGCAACAGGAGGCTTGACCCAGAGAGGAAGCCCCGGGCCCCTGCCCAGGGGACCCTCCGACCTCTCCCCAACCCTAGCAAAGCGCCTCCCGAATGGGCTGAGGCGAGCGGGAGGCAGGGAAAAGTTTGGGGGGACTTAGAGGCGTGCTCGGGATGCTCGCTCCCTGCTGAAGACCCCCTGAGGGAGCCCTGCGGGGGGAAGCCCCGGGGCCAGGCTGCAGGAGGGCTCTAGGGAGGAACGCGGCCCCTCACCGGGGCTCCCCATCCGCAGAGGGGACGCACCGGAGTCCTAGCACAGGGCCGCGGGCCGGGGGAGACCCCACAGCCCCAAAACTCCTGCTCCCAGACCGGCAGCCGGC